TTTTCCAACCAAAATGATTCAATGATTCTCTGTTTTTAATATGAAAAAAGCCAGCAACAAAAATACCTGAGGAAATGGGATTTCATGGAGAAAAGACACCGTCACTCAGGCGCTGTTTAAAGTCACAAGTGCAGGCAGCCAACAACTCGGCCACCGTACAGCAGATTCTTAGCAGAGAGCCTGCACATGGTACTTCTGAGAACAGACTGTATTCAAGTGTAAGACCAAGCTCTACATTGCATTACCTACTTGTTCTCCTTCATCTAAGAGGATCCTCTAACACTCTGCAAACTCAGGCCAGCACCTCCAAAACTCACCTACAAACCAGAGGCGCTCAGCCTGCCAAGCGCGGCTGATTTTCTGGGGAAGCCTGGCACCCACTGCAACCCGCGCGGCTCTGAAAGCCGGACCTAAGGTCTCATAAACTGGGTGCCCAGAATGCAAAGCACCCAAAGTCAGTGGTTGTTTTTCTACAAGATAATTTTACATCAAAATGTTACATCTGGAGCCCCCATCACAAGAGAGACCCGGACCAGTTAGAACAAGTCCAGAGGAGGCCACCAGGATGATGCGAGGGCTGGAGCAGCTCTGCTGTGAGGACAGGCTGAGAGAGTTGGGGCTGTTCAGCCTGGAGAAGAGAAGGCTCCGGGGAGATCTTATAGCGGCCTCCCAGTACCTGAAGGGGCTCCAAGAAAGCTGGGGAGGGACTTTTCATAAGGGCAGTTAATGACAGAACAAGGGGAAATGGGTTTAAGCTGAAAGAGGGGAGGTTTAGATGAGATATTAGGAAGAAGTTCTTCACTGTGAGGGTGGTCAGACACTGGAACAGGTTGCCCAAGGAAGTTGTGGATGCTCCCTCCCTGGAAGTGTTGAAGGCCAGGCTGGATGAGGCTTTGAGCAACCTGGTCTAGTGGAAGGTGTCCCTGCTGCTGGCAGGGGGGTTGGAACTGGATGAGCTTTAAGGTCCCTTCCAACCCAAACCATTCTGTGATTCTATGAAAAGGCAGACCAGTCGCTCAGGGTGTGACTGACACTGCTGAGAGCAGCCTTCCTCAGTACTTCTCACAGCTGCTTCAAACAGGAGATCGATTGAGTCTGACCCACTAGCAGAAATACAAGCAGGGCACCACAAGTAACTACACTTTCTCTTAGAAAAAAGAATCTTTAAAGACTTGTGGGATGAAGCTTTGTGACCACTTAACAGAAAAGTGGTGAAATTTCGTGCCAGTTTTGGAATCTCAGCACTCTGTGCCAGACACAGCAAATTTGCACCTGGATGTTATGATTAAGGACAGCGATGACTTTGAGAAGTGACTAACAGCGCACTGTAAAGTACCAGTGGACTGTTTCAGAAGGAAACAGTTTCTAAGAAACATGAAGGAACTGTAGAAAGGAGATTCTCTGAAATCTCTGAATGATATATAATTTTCTCTTCATGCTAATGCTGACATAGACCAGCTGCTGCAAATGCCAGGCTGTTTATTTTACCTTCACTATCTGAAGTGGAGAGCCTCCGTTTGTGAACTCTTCTCAACTCCTTCCCGTATCGGACACTTTTCTGTGAGCCATCACTTTCTGAATCTTCCTTATAATTAACCTGTCTCTTCTGATTCCGTCTTGATCTTCTCCTCCTAGTTTCCAGGTAATCGTCATCGCTGTAATCTGTGTAATCACCACTCTCTGTACAGGAGAAAACAGGGAGATGTGTTATTCCATTCAAGCAAAACTCCACAATTTACAGAATCACAGAATGTTGGGGATTGGAAGGGACCTCGAAAGATCATCCAGTCCAACCCCCTGCTGGAGCAGGAACCTAAATGAGATCACACAGGAAGGCGTCCAGGCTGGTCCTGAATGTCTCCAGAGAAGGAGACTCCACACCCTCCCTGGGCAGCCTGTCCCAGGGCTCTGTCACCCTCACTGTAAAGAAGTTCCTTCTCAAGTTTAAGCAGAACCTCCTGTGTTCCAGCTCACACCCATTTCCCCTTGTCCTACCATTGGGCATCACTGAGAAGAGCCTGGCTCCATCCTCCTGACATTCACCCTGAACATATTTATAAACATTAATGAGGTCTCCCCTCAGTCTCCTCTTCTCCAAGCTAAAGAGACCCAGCTCCCTCAGCCTTTCCTCAGCAGGGAGATGCTCCACTCCCTTAACCATCTTGGTGGCTCTGTGCTGGACTCTGAAGAAGCTTTAGACCAGCACCAATAAACTGACGTGCTCTTCCAGCAGAAGAGAGTCTCAACCATCACACCTTGTTACTCTGACCTGTTCCAGGCTCAGGCATCAGTTCCCCCATTCAGCTCTAGAGTAGAATTGCTTGATTTTAAAATCTGCTCACAAACCATTTTTCCATCTCCCTCAAAATCCTCCAGAAGAAGTTTTCCTTCCAGTGTTTTTGTTCCTTCATCTCTACTAGTGCCAAAGATTCCCGACAGTTGAAACAACCCTACTGAATTGGAGCTGGTGATGCACATTACCACTGACACTGAAAAGTCCTCTCCATTTTTAAGATTTTAATAAATTGTACACTTCTCAAACGCTCTTCAGAACAGGTAGATGAAAAACCACTGACCACATGAAACTCCAGGTAAGATCTAAGTTATATCACTGGCCCAGGTTGCCCAGAGAAGCTGTGGCTGCTCCTCCCTGGAAGTGTTTAAGGCCAGGCTGGATGAGGCTTTGAGCAACCTGGTCTAGTGGAAGGTGTCCCTGCTGCTGGCAGGGGGGTTGGAACTGGATGAGCTTTAAGGTCCCTTCCAACCCAAACCATTCTATGATTATATAAAATTTAAACAACAAAAATCAGTCTCACTCGATCATAATCTTGCTTAAAACAAAAACTGTACAGAAGAAACTCACCAGCACCCACAGTTCCTCCTCCACCAGTCTACTGCAGCTAGAGCCTTTAAGAATTAGGTTTATTTACAGCTGAAAATAGCCTCGAATCAACTTCAGCTGCTTCAGCACTGAGCTGTGCCAGAACAATTATCCCAAGATACATTTCTATACATGTCACATACTGTTCCTAAGTTAGGGATTGACATGACTCACAGGTCAAAGTGTCATCCTCTTTACTTCCTAAAATATTAGAGAAAGAATCAGTGCACGTCAACAAGAATAACCACCTTCAGAAAGAAACTCCATCTCTGGAGATTGAAACCAAAGCCACTTGCAGGGCACCTTATTTCCTTATCTCAACAGAGGCTGAAAGCAGCATCCCGAGGGACAATAACGGGGGTAAAGGAGAGAAACACGTAGTTAGGACTAGATGTTTAGATATATGTGGAATCATACTGGAATCAGCTGATTTTATCACAGATGCGTGTCCACCAGGTAACAAATAGTTGCTCCTGTGCATTATAGAATAGAGGAGCAATCTCTTATTTAGATTTCTGCCAGTATCTTAATTGATAACAGCTTACAATTAGTGTAATGATGTAGTCAGGACAGGGAGACAGCAAGTATTTTACGTGCATATAGCTTCATCTGTCCATGCATGAACCCTCCTTCTGGAAACCAGTACTTCAAAGCAACTGGTTCATCATCTATGTGCTAGAGAGACAGATAAAACACTGGAAAGTTAACACACACTGCAATAAGTTAATGCTCCAGTGTACTTACCACCTTAAATTGACAATAAAAATGAGTAAAAAGAAGTGATTTTGTATCTGGCATCTTCTAAGACTGGGTCTCAAGTGAAGCAGAAACAAGGAGGACAGGCTCCAGAGAAAGCTGATCATCATGGAAAGGTGTGAGTATCACACAGGTACTATCCTCACATCTCAAACAGTGCAAATAGAAAACAAACCGGTTGAAGCACAAGTAGAATAAAGTGAATTATCAGGTTCTCCTGTGATGCTAAGAGTCTTCAGTTACTAAAGATCAAAAAGTAATCGTAGAAGAGAGAGATTCAAGGTGTTACCATTTGCTTTCAAGCCTGCCAGAGAGCACAGAATGCCATAAAACTGAAGGAATTGCCTTCCACACAAAGAGGGAAAATGTTTCTTTCAGAAGCTTTTTCAAAGGGGAAATGGGTTTAAACTGAAAGAGGGGAGGTTTAGATGAGATATTAGGAAGAAGTTCTTCACTGTGAGGGTGGTCAGACACTGGAACAGGTTGCCCAAGGAAGCTGTGGCTGCTCCTCCCTGGAAGTGTTGAAGGCCAGGTTGGATGAGGCTTTGAGCAACCTGGTCTAGTGGAAGGTGTCCCTGCTGATGGCAGGGGGGTTGGAACTGGATGATCTTTAAGGTCCCTTCCAATCCAAACCATTTGATGATTCTATGATTCAAAAGGTCTCCAAATAGCTATAAAGTACATTTTTGCCTCCGTCCTTTTTCTTCCCTGCAATCATGCGCCAAGCAGGAAGGTGCTATCCACAAAGCAGGAAACTATCCACAAAGGTGGCTTTTTGCATGTTAGCACAAGCATTTCATTTAAATATATAATTATTTAAAATGCCAAGAACCTGGTACTCAATACCAGTTTCCTGCAGAATATTCACAGCAGAACAAGTAGCAAAGATGAAATCTGACGTGACCAAAGCAAGCAAACAAGTATCAGTCATAACAGGAAACTGGCAGACTTCCACTCTTCCTCTCTCCAGCCCAAAGTATTTATTATATCTCAGATTTCTTACACTCACCAGATTCTCTGCTTGAATTGTCCTCAGAATCTTCATCTTCATCATCTTCAGAATATTTTTTCTTAACTGTTTTCCTTCGTAACCGCCTGCTTTGCCTCATGGGCCTGGAGAGGTGTCGCCTGGATATGCGGGCACAGAACTCCGAATCACTGTCTTCATTTGATGGTGGGTCATCTTCACTTTCATCCAGATTTTCCTCTGATATAACAAACTCATCCTGAGATCTGTTCAAAGAGATATCACAGACAACAGAGATATTGGAAACAAAGGATTGAAACAGCACTTTCATTTTACAAGCAAGATTTGAAACAGGGGATTAGAACAGCAGGTGAATATAAACACCATGAGCATCACCTGTGGAGAGGGAAAATAAAATCACCCACCATGTTCTTGGAGAAAGGACCTCCCCTTCATGAACCAAACACTGTCCTACGCAACTGCTGAGAACTAGAATATCGTGTCTCCACACAAAACGACTGCTCTCATGCAAAACACGCATCTCAGACTTATCAGCCTGTAACACACATCATTTTTTAAGAGCCCTCGAGCACTGAAGGTACATCATCACTTGTATTTGGTTGCCAGCTGAATGTAAATTCAGGAGGCATTCAGCAGAGGATGGAGCTGCAAATGCCTGATCACACTTTAACAGATCAATGTGCTGTTAATTCTGTGAGATTTCCGCAAGCTACGCTCAATTGATTGGAAATTTCCAGCACGTTTAGCTCAGCTATTCAGAGTGTCATGGAAATGTCCTCAGCATGGTCACAGGTGAAAAACAAAGCTCAAAATTTGCACCCGTGTTATACAGATCATCTATACAATTAATAAATTGCCTCAGTGACTGGTGTAAAGCTTTAAATGTTGATGGTAAAGAGCCTAGACCTCAAGCTCCATGATGTTTTTCATTGAGGGATAAAGGACATCTAAAATTATTATGACATATTTTAACGTTAGGAATTCCCCAGACTGAACGATGAGAAATTCCACGGGAAGAGTTTCATTTAGCCAGAGCAATACTCATTTCGTGTTTAAAGCTGCACATGACACCTATTTGTTTTCAAAAGAATAAACCACTTCGGCTATTTTCAAACTCAAAGAATCCCAGAATTGCCTCCACTGGAAAAGCCCTTTAAGATCATCAAGTCCAACCATGAACTCAACACTGACAAGTCCCCGACTAACCCATGTCCCTCAGCACTGTGTCTACACGACTCTTCAATCCCTCCAGGGATGGGGACTCCACCACTGCCCTGGGCAACCCCTTCCAATGCCTCAGAACCCTTTCAGCAAAGAAATTCTTCCTCACATCCCATCTCAACTGCCCTTGGTGCAACTTGAGGCCATTTCCTCTTGTCCTCTCACTTGGTCCTTGGTTGAACAGACCCACCCCCACCTCTCTCCACCCTCCTCCAAGGGACTTGGACAGAGCCACAAGGTCTCCCCTCAGCCTCCTTTTAGATTATATTTTTATATACATTGTATATTTATATATGTACATATATACTATGATTAATAACTGTACCTCCTAATGAGCAGAAATCAAGAACTGATTTAAGAACCTGCATGGCAAGTTATGTACGCTGTAAATGGGGACATTTTACTTTGTCAGTTACTAAATGACAATCAGGTCCAAGAAAAAAATCCCACAAAATAGGACATATTTTCAAAAGGAACCAACCAGGCTCATTTTAGCTACATCTTTGTTAGGAATTTCTGCTAGGCAGTCACGTCAGTCAGTCTGTTCAACCAAGGAACAAGGGACAGGACAAGAGGAAATGGCCTCAAGTTGCACCAAGGGCAGTTGAGATGGGATGTGAGGAAGAATTTCTT